TCAACGGACAACAAGTAGAATCGTAGATCGTTGTTTCCTGCTGAGAGCAGGAAATAGTGCTTCGTGGCACTTTTATCGCGACAAGGTCACACGCGGACTCTCCAGCCTCTCAGCTCACCACCTCGCCTTCTCTGTCGCTCTCCTGGCCCAGGCCCATCAGTATCAGGTCTGAGCTGTCCCAAACCGCACTTACCTCGGGTCTTCAAGCTCACACCGGCTCGTGATGCCACGGAGAGGGCTCCGAGATTGTCCCTGGTGGACCCCATCCGAGCCGATTGCGAGGGCATTACGGAGGTCATTATCGGCGCCATCGACTGTGAAATGTCCCGACCCACAGCCCTCATGCACTAGGCTCATGGATGCAGTCATAATATGTAGGCCTTGTCTCCCGAAGTTTGGAGCAATAGCCGCAAATAGTACTTTTTGGCACTTCATCGCGACACGTCCAGGTGCCGACAAAGCGGCTTCCCAGCTCACCACCTCGCCTTCTCTGTCGCTCTCCTGGCCCAGGCCCATCAGCAGCAAGTCTGAGCCGTCCCAAACCGCACTTATCTTGGGTGATGAAGCTCACTCTGGCTCATACCACGGCTCTGCAGCCTCACACACGCCCGTTTCAGCCACAGACACCGCCGGCACGCACTCCCACTTCACACACGCTCAAGCACAACCCCATCAAAGCACATCCCTGCTCAGAATGGGCAAGGGCTACCACCTGGTGACCCTGGTAGCCTCTGGCTCGCCACTGCACTCGGCTCCTCTGCAGCGGTCTCGGCTCTCGCCACGACAGCACGCCGACGGCAAGCTTTGACGCCCGTCTGGTGGACCTGCTGTGGCCACAGCCGCCCCTGACATGCATCTCGCACCATGACTCGACACCGGGCCCGCTCAGCTTGGTCGTGGCGGCGTGTGTGAAGGATGCGCGGCCGAGCCGCTGGCTGGCGCGGCTTGAGCGTCCGAGATGGCCGCAGCAGAGGCCACGCGTCGCGCCGCCGGCCAAGCCCAGCCTCTCCGCGGTCCAGTCGGTCAAGCTGGCGGGGCCGGCGAAGATTTCGGGGACGTGACCACAACTCGGGCAGCGACAGCGCGCTTGAGCTTAGCTTGTCCGACACCCCTCAAAATCGGGGTCTTTTCAATAGGGCCCACCTTGGCCTTTAAATTCTTTCAAGCTTGCTACAGCGCAAGAACGCCGACATGATGCTGTCCGCCCTCAGCACCCTCGCGGCGCCCGCGGAGCACGAGATCTCCTCCCTCCCGGGCTGGGGCGGCCCGCTTCCGAGCCGCATGTACTCTGGCTACATCGACGTGGGCGCTGCCGCCAAGCAGCCCATGCCGATGCACGTCCACTACGTATTTATCGAGAAAGAGGAGCAGCTGGACGCGGGCGCCGATCCCACGATCCTCTGGACCAATGGCGGCCCGGGCGCCTCGTCCATGTTTGGCCTGCTCGCGGAGCTCGGCCCACTCCTCCTCAACGAGAACTCGCTCTCCACCCCAGACTTCAAGAGGACGGGAGTACCCACCCTCTTCTCGAACCCACACGCGTGGACCAGGCTCGGCTCGGTCGTGATGTTTGACTGGCCGCCGCCGGTCGGCTTCTCGTACTGTGCCGATCCGAGCGGCGCAGGAACCTCGTGCGGCGATTGGGACGATGAGCGTATGGCGGCCGTGCAGTACGCAGCGCTCAAGGGCTGGTTCGACCTCTTCCCAGAGCGACGGTCCAAGCCGCTCTTCCTGACGGGCGAGAGCTACGCAGGCATCTACGTCCCGAAGCTCGCCCAGCAGATCCTCGACCACCGCGACCCGGACGTCTACCCGCAGCTGCGCGGCTTTGCGGTCGGCGACGGCTGCCTCGGAACCGAGTCGGGCATCTGCGGCGGGGACAAGCCGTGGTGGAACCTGCTCTTCCTGTACGGGCACGGCCAGATCTCGACCCTCCTCTGGGAGAGCATCCTCCGCGAGTGCGGCGAGCAGCATCTCAAGTTTGGCACCGGCGAGTCGCCCGCCGGATGCAGCGCGGCGCTGGCGCGAGTGGGAGGCGCGGCGAGCTGCGACTTGTCGGACAACCTTCTGCTTCTCGGAACCGTCTCTGGAACCGTCTCGTAGGCGAGGCGGGCGGCTACTTTGCCTACGGCCTGTACGACGACTGCATCTACCAGGAGGGGCTGCGCCGCTCCCGCCGCAGGCTCGTCACATCTCCCCACATCTCCCCACATCTCCCCACATCTCCCCACATCTCCCCACCTCCCGCCGCAGGCTCGGCGTGCGCAGCGACGGCTCGGTCGGCGGCCTCGCGGCGCGGCTCGGCCTCGGAGCGAAAGAGGTTGGCGGCGCTCTCAACGACTATGCCTGCGGCGGCGGGGATGCGCAGAGCGTGTGGACCAACCAGTCGTCTGTGCGCGCCGCCCTGCACGTGCCCCTCAACTCGTTC